TTTGTATATTATTCACCATCAGAAACAATCATAACTAAGGTTAGATTTGATAAACTATCATAATGATTCTGAATTTTTTTAGGGTAAATGACACAAATGGTCCTTGAATTTTTATCAAATGTGCAATGTGGTACATGAACTTTAAATTTATTCAATGTGGTCCTTAAACTTTAATCCAATATGTAATATTATCCCATAACTTATAATTTGTTCAATGTGGTCATCTGTTAACATGCTCAATTTAGTCCATGCACTGTATGAGAATGTTCAACGTTATCCCTGAACTTAAATAAAATGGAATGACAACATTGAACATTTTCATACAATCCATAGACTAAATCGAAATGAGCCATAGGAATAAATTAAAAGTTGAAGTATCACATCAACAGATCTAAAGTTCAGACATCATATTACATAATGAATCAAAATTCATGGACAATTTATGTCGCTATCCTTTTGTTTTTTTAATACCAAATATGCCATAGTCAAAATCACGACAATACAAAAACTCAAGGAGTCGCCCAACAAAACACGTTTGCCATGATGTCCGTGTGAACTTGTCCCCAGAATAGCAATCCCGTGGGCCGACCCGCCATCGCTCCGCCCGGTTCATTGAACATGGACACGAGCAGCTTTGTTCTCTCTGGAGTTTTCTACGCGAACAAATCCCCAAGTCAGATTTCTCTCTACCATTTGACCCTTCTAATTTTTTCCTTAAAAAGGTGTACAAAATCCGTTCTTGTATATTAAAAACGGGCAATTTGGCCCTCCGCTCCTCGCTTTATCGCGTCGCCTAGAAAGCTTGTCGATTCCCCAACCTGCGATATCGACGAAAATGCTCGCCTCCGGCAAGGTATTCGCTTCGGTTTCGAGTTGTTTTCTTGTGAATTGCTTGTCTGTTGTCTCGATCGGTCGAGAGAGGAGGGAAGATCCGATTTCGAGGTCACCCAGTTTTCTTTTCTTTGGGATTTTCAAGTTGACTCTGTTTTTTTTTTGAGTCTGTCGATGTTGCTGGGCTTGTTGGTTTTGGGTAAGCTGTCGGTACGGCGAAACCCATCATCTTTTTGAGCCGAGTTAGGATTTGTTTGCCGCAGTTTTGGGATTCTTGGAACGGGAAACTCGAAACCCTTGAACAGATGTGATCTCTGTGGTAGACTGGTAGGTGCTACAGAAGAATTGAGAAGCATCCCGAAGAGAAGTCTCAAAAAGAAGACAAATTCCAATATGATTTACGTGATGGGGCAAATTTGAGGGCTTACTCCTAATTGAACTAGTTTGGGTTGATGTCCTTCCATCTTGGATTCACATGTAGGTCACGTCACCCTATGGCCACGGTATACTGGATGGGTTGATGGGTATGAGATCCAGGGGCAAGAAATTCCTGGGTAGATTGTTTTGTGCGCGTTCTGATAGCTTGAAACTTTTGAAACAAGTGGCTGTTTAGGATCTCGAGCGGGTTAGTCCTCTTTAAGGGACATGAAGGTCGAGTCTTGGTACCCAACTGGAAAAAGTTCAGCCATTACCTTATATAATGAAGCAAGCTAAGTCAAGAAAAAACCATTAATATGGTAGAAAGAAGGTGTGGAGGTCTAGTTGACTTAAGAGCGGATTGCTACTTTTCTGGCGGATGTCATTGCCTCTTTACATGGTGCCAAAGTTAGAGCTCGAACTGCGGACAGAGGCATAATTGTACTCGGAGAGGATTAATATATTGCAGCCCACTTTTAGGTCCTTATGGTCAATGCAGAATATAGGATACTTGTTTCTCTTAGATATTTTTAAAGATGTATCTGTTTCAGGTCCTTGTAGTCAATGGAGAATATAGGGTACTTGTTTCTCTTAAATATTTTTAAAGATGTATCTGTTTCACTTCTTCTTTCGAACTTGTTCTTGGGTTTTCACGGTATGTTGATTGTCTGTGTCATGTATGCGTCTGCACCTAACAGTGTGCACCGGTTTGCGTATTATGAATATCAATTTGCTATACGTGGTATTCATTAGTTTGTATTTCAGTTAATCTATAGTACTTGATAAATTGGTTTGATAGGGTGATTTTGATGATGGATTCTGTAACGGTGGTCATGATCTAAGCGTGAGAACTAGGAAACTATAAAAAATTTAAGGTAGGAAAACAATTTTTGGAAAGAACATTTTCAACCGTCCTTCCTTGAGGATGGAAGAGGGTGGTTAAATTTGTGTTGTGAATCTCGTGATGTACTGTGGGTCCTTCAATGCCTGTTCTGTATTTGCGATAATGCTTTCGAACTTTGTGCTGGGTAGGATCCTAGAGAGGAAGTCCTTCAAGCATGGTATATGGATGACAGCACTGAAGACCAAAGACTTCCACATCACCGTGAACCTAAGGAATTTGTTTCCTTGGAGCAGCTTGATGGTATGCATTCTGAGGAAGCACTGTTGTAAGATACAATGAAACAATTTTGTTTTCCAATTCTTTAGGAGCTACCATGTTTTTGCAGAACTTGGCGTTCTCAGCTGGCGATTGGATGCTGACAACTATGAAACTGACGAGGGATTGAAGAAAATCCGCGAGGAACATGGATACTCCTATATGGTATGTGGCAAGTTATCTAATTTAATTCATAATATTATACCACATTTTCACTAGCTTTGGTAGTTTGTAGTTGCTTCAGGACAAGATTAATATTCGTGTTTGTCCATGTCGTGGAACTAGACCTGGGTCATGATCATACGTTCCATGCTTGTTTAACTAATCTTTTGGTGAATGATTAAGTTTGAAAATCTTGCATTGTTAAGTAACAATGCTGAAATGTTTTAAAGAGACTGATGTCTATTTTCTGCCTAATCTGTTAATCCTCCTGAGAACTTTGGTCCCTCTTAGTCTGCTGGACACTTCCAATGTTGAGCTTGTTTGCTACGTCTGGCGGCATGAAACTTATTTTATTTTTGCCCAGGATTTCTGCGAAGTTTCCCCAGAGAAGCTACCAAATTATGAAGAGAAGATCAAGAACTTCTTTGAGGAGCATCTCCACACTGATGAAGAGATTCGTTACTGCGTGGCTGGAAGTGGTAAGTCCCTGATTTTCTTCTTTCAGCTTCCTGGATTCTGGTTACTATTAAATTCCCTAATTTTTACCTTGTCGTCTAGGTTATTTTGATGTTAGGGACCGGAATGATGCTTGGATACGTGTGTGGTTAAAGAAAGGTGGATTGATTGTTTTACCGGCTGGAATCTACCATCGCTTTACCCTCGATTCGGATAATTACATTAAGGTACTTACGGTACATGCATACCCCTCTTCACTTCTTTGATCGAGCACCCATGTATATGAAGAGAGCGAGGGAACTAGATTTGGGCCTTCTAAAGTTATCGCAGCTTTTTCATAATCAGTGGAAGAATGAATTTTCTAATTGATAGAAAGAAATTTTGTTTACTCTCTGCTAAGTGATCTTTGTGTATAGGCTATGCGACTGTTTGTTGGTGATCCAGTTTGGACCCCATTCAATCGGCCTCACGACCATTTACCTGCGAGGTATTGATCTATCCTTTCCTTCTAGTGGTTTACATCTCCAGTTTTCTCATACAACATGTTGCTCTCCAGTCTTAGAGATGAATTCTTCCTTGCAGGAAAGAGTACCTTCAAGCTTTTGTGCAGAAGGAACGCAGTGATCATGCCGTTGATGCTGCAGCTTAATGTGTGTAGCCCTGTGGGCTTTCATGAGATATAATAAACACTGAAGTATGCCTTGGCCTGTGATATGTGGTTTCTCAGCATGAGTAATCAGTTTGCCTTGACTTGGCTCATATAGTACAAAGCTGTTATGCTTATGGTTATGTGGTTTTGGATCTGTATCCGCTACATTGGTTGGTCCTTTGTGGATAGACAAACGAATAAAACTGGTTGTGCGACTTATGCTTTGAGCCTTTTTACTATTTTGACGCTCTTCTAGTCGGCGATTCGGCCCTCGATTATCTTCCGTCTTTCTGGGCATAAACTCAGTATGAATCTTGTTTCCCGCCGGAGGTTTAGTGAAGATGACAGCATGAGACGCGTCCATGCGGTAAAGTGGTCAACTGCGAGCGTTGCATGGGTGGACCGTCGATTTTTAATCATCTGCTCTGGTGGGCTAGTCAAGCTTTGGAATTTCAGCATTTTGCTTGTTGGCATCTAGAGATTCTTGTGGAGGCGAGTTTGCGGCACGCCCTCAACAGGATCTGTATTGTGTGAGAAATCCTATTGTCCGACTCAAGTCCAAGTTGGACTTCTCTTCCATATACGGGTGCCCACTGTGCATAAACTCCGAACAATCCGAAATGGGAAATCTCCCGTTTGAATGTGGATGTCCGCCGCGTTGTGTTTGGACGGCCGACTTGCATCGGACTTTGTACACACTCCGAGCCCTCCAGCTCGATTTCGAGTTTTCACATGCTTAGATTTTGTCGATGGGCTCAAATTCGAGACAAAATTTTTGGAACTAATTGCATGCCAAAATAGGATTTCGTAGGATAAAGGCAGAGCAAATCAACCCAACTCACATTACAGGTTCATCAAGCTGACGCGAGTCATGACACGGTTCTTGACCTAATGCCCAGTTCAAAATTCTCTCTCAACCCACTTTTAGCACATTTTATTTACCCGGTCATCGCATTTGCTTGCAGGCGATAATCCGGCTTCGAAGTTCAAACTACGCCGCTTGACTTAAGATCGTATGTAGTTTTTTTTTTTTTTTTCATTTAGGCTTAATTAAATGGAATTCGGTGCCAGTTTCGACACACTAGATTAAGTCTACATGTCAGGTTCAGTCAAAGGAACACTATCCATGCCACGGGTTAGGGTAGTCGCTCAACATATCTTCCTAGCTAACTCAACACCCAAGAAGCATCGCCGAGCAAAGATTTGAATTCGAGACCTCCTGAGGGGACCGATTGGGTTTACCGACTCGGTCGAACCGTTTTCGATGTTTTATTGGGCCGGTCCAACCTCTGTTCTTTGCTTAGAAAGTGGCCCATCTTTCAGTCAGGCTTCTGGTTGGGTTTCCTTGTGTCTCAAGGCCCAACCACAAAAGCAGAAGCTTCCCCTCCCAAATTCTAGTGCGCCTCGGTCGCCTTCCCAGTTTCAACTCTCCGGTGGCGCTGCTCTACTTGCCTTGCGGTGACCGTGGAGGTATGTATGGGTTTTGATGCTCGTTTCGAGTCTGCATATGGGGTGTGCTTCTTGATTCGCTGCCATTTCTTGGTTTTAGTACCAGTTCCTCTGGTCATGTAAATGCCAAGATTTTACAAGGTCTTGTTCCCAATTTGTTCATGCTAGTTCAGCACTATTTCGTCCCTTGATTTGGGTTCTTGGGTTTGCGGGTCCGTTTCGTTCTTTAGGATGTACTTCTTGTGCGGTTCTGGTTGGGAGGATGAGGATCGATGGTGATGTTTTGTGTTGAGCCCCCATGCCCGCAAGGTGTTCGACCATATTCCTATGAGAGCCTCGGTGTTATGTTTTTGCCCACTTGAGGGGAGAGTAAGAAGAGAAGTAGAGCCTCAGATTCTTAGGTTTGCGACGGCGCAGTTCGAAGCTTCTTTTATGAACAACATGGATAATTTTGCGTAGTTTTCCCATGACTGGAACCAATACCGTGGGATTGCTACTCTTGCTACATTTTTCTGATCAACCTTGTCTCTATTTCCTTTTAATTTTCCCCTTAAGTTTCATTGAAGTGAAGATTCTAGTCATTTAAAAAAAGTGGAATGGTTTCAAGATGGGAGCTTGAACTTTTACTAACTCTAGTTGTTGAGTGTTTGGAAATGCGCACAAATTGCTTGTGGAGAGATGGGATCAAGAAAAGGACAATGAGCAAATATTATACGATTATTAAGAGTATGTCCTATCCCACATCTCAAATACAAGGAGACGCAGTAAGGCATTAGGCTTCTTGCTCTATAATGCCTGCTTTTTGTTTTAGCAACCTAGAATCAGATATTGAATAATAATCACCGAGCTAATCAAGCAGCATCTCAAGTTACTCTAAAAAGATTGAATTACTAGATTGAAAAATTCCATCTATATGTGACCTTGCCTAGTAATATATTGTTAGTTTAACCATGTTTTGCAGTGTTGCTTCTCATAGTCTCCTGCAGATGAATCTAACTGGTTCCTTCTGAAACTTAGCTAGTTTCTCAGTTATTCATATATATTAATTAGTTCTGTTCTATAATGGGTCATTGTGAAAAATCAAGGAGATAGTGATTGGTGAGATATCTGTTATTTACCCAATTGTGAAATAGTATTTTGCTTTTCTTTGGTATCCTCTTTGTTTGTTTTTGTATGTGTGGGTGTGCATGTGTGTTCATTCTAGTTGTTCCTTCATCGCTGTCTGGGGTTTGTCATGGGAAAAACTAATTTTAATGTCCCCTTCAGTGTTGCTGAGAAAGGGAAAAGCATGAACGCCTTCAAAGCTTACAAGGCTTGTGTGCCGATTGCATGGAGCCCCAACTTGTACATAACCCTGGTTAGGGGCATTCCTGGAACCAGAAGACTTCACAGGCGTACATTGGAGGCATTGCGGCTTCGCAAGTGTAACCGAACTGTTATGAGATGGAACACCCCTACTGTTAGGGGAATGTTGCAACAAGTAATGATTAGTCAGCTACTGCATTTTGGATTTGTTTATCAATATTATTTGCTTACTTGAAGAATCTATTACGTGAGTAGGTAAAGAGGCTGATCGTGGTTGAAACAGAAGAGATGTTCAAAGCCCGCAAAGAGAAGGAAGCAAACCACCGAGCTTTACGTCCGCCTTTGGTCATAAGCCATCTGCCTGCCCCAGATTGCAGTTCTTAAAAGCAAACTTTGTCCTCTTAGGTCAGATCCTTCTCCAGTGTTCTTTTATCAGACAATACAGTTTCTAGATGTGTCATTGGAAAGAAATCCATTGGTTGTAAGAGTTCCATCATGATTGAGTGGTTTATTCGAAGATATATTTTGCTATGACTTAATTAAACAATCAATTGCTACATAATTTGATGGAAGTGAAATAAAGGACAGAGTTCATAATCTGGGTCCATGAAATCATACTATCGGCCTCTGGACAGTCGAAAAAAGGAAAGGCAGCAGAAAGCGCTGATAAGTATTTCAATGGGTGATTGCACTTAACATTCTCTAGATATGTCGTTGCTGAGTTGGTGAATTTCCACCTTTTTACTTGGAAGGGTACAGACTGAAGTTTGATTTAGTTTTGTTTGCAGAATCTGTTGCTTTGAGAATTCGGAGCGTCCTCATCTAAGGACGATCCGAATTCGCTCAATCCATCTTTATTATTGTTGCTTTAGCTTATTTACTTCTGAAAAGCCTGAGATCCTTCTGATTTACATATGTTCTTCGTTCACCCATAGTCATCTGAGTCTCATCATGAGTTCATTGGCAAAGGTGCTTGTGGCTTATTAGTCTGCAATTACCAATTAAGCAACACTTCTTTACTTCCACTTCATACGAATCGATGTTTCTTCTCAAGGAGGGAGTTTTTTTCAGAGTATACTCCATGTTGAATATTGAAATATCCTTCGAGAGAATGATCTATAGCGTGAGAAACTGTAATTTGAGATCTAACCAAGACGGTATTGGGCACAGTATTTGTATTAAGACAATGCTTCACTTTATATTATGCTTCTGAGGATTACATTCTGATCTACTTTCACGAGTATATCACTCTAATTCCATAACCCTACACAAGTATGCCTCCCTTAACATATTCGGTGAAGGCCAACGCAACAAGTCCCAACATTGCAAATCTTCCGTTCCACAACTCGGCATTGGAAGTCATCAACCCGTCAGACTTTGACTCGGCCGTGACTCCTTGAAACAGCGGAACAAGAGATGCGACCGAGAGTAGAATGCTAGTCCCTATGAACCATGGGATGCCACCTTCACTGATCTGAGTGAACAAGTCCTGGCCTTTGGACTGTTCAACCGCAACGGCCGCCACAAAGCCAATCATTGCGAGTCTGCCACTGATCCTCTCTGGCGCCGGCCCGCTAAATGCGAATACATCTCTGAAGTTGGTGCTCACTTGTCATCGTGATCAAGTTAGTTTACGGAAGGAGTGGTTATTTATTTGGTGAAATTAATTAGTCAATGTAAAAGGACATATAACTAGTACATATCGTGCATGCACTATTCTATACACAGACCACCTCTGTCGAACACTTGTCATCCAACTAACTAGTCAAGTCTATTTGTTTTAAGCAGTTACAAGAGGACCTATAATTGGTAGACGAAGTAATCATGTCGCTATAACGAGTGACCATCTCACTTGATACGAAATTGAATCGGTAGAGTATCACCGGTTCAATTTCTTTGACAACACTTATCATCAGGAAACTTCAATCCTAAAGTTTAATCTCTTTGATTAGATAAAAGCTACGTGTATAAGTAAGGCCTTCCCAAAACTCGTATTCATGTGCTACGAGACTCAAGAGTGAATATACCTTTGATTTCGATTTCGGGGATGGGTTTAGATCCAGCTTTCTCTCCTGCAACATTCACCACATACCAATGTTAATTCAATAAACTTCCCAATATCAGATTGTTGACGTTACAAGCAAGATCATTCGAAAATCTGCTACTTCACCTCAGTCATACACCTCACACGTACGCCACCTCAGGGGGCCAACCTAGGACTATGGTTGGCAGGGAAAAGGCCTCTCACAATAGATTTCCTGGAACTAATGTCAATCGCAGTCCTAGGACTTGCAGGGATCGAGTGCATCAGGATTGTTGAGGCCATGATCTTGAAACAATGACCAGAAGTTTTGGGAAAACTAGTAGAATAATACTCAAAGCATGCAATTGAATCGAATCTGACAAGATTGAAGTGCTACTATCTTGGACTGAAGAGTGTGTGATATGAAGCGGTATTTATGTAGTGCCGGGGAAGAGAGAGAGAGAGAGAGAGACTGGTAGATGATGTTGGTTCCACGGGATGCATATTTGTAGGGGTTAAATGGTTTCACCATGTCCGTTCAATGCGAAAGTGACGATGTGGACCTTCAAATAGCCCCTGAACAAACAAAGGACAATGGTTTGTGGGACTTCAGTTCTTGCTGGCTTTCGAATGCGAGGCCAAGAGGGAAGTAACGTAGTTCAAGGTTTTCGACGGTGGAGAAACACATTGAAACTTCTACTACTGTGCATCGGCGTAACCTTCATGAAAACGACATGCCACGACTCTGCAGCTCCAGCATGATATGCCACTCTCTTTAGTCCCTCTTCACGTTTCAAAGGCTCATTCACTAGGAAGGATCTAGACTCTCTTGAGAATTTTAACTGCAACAAGACTCTGGAGCATGGGCACTCAATGCTTCTCTGTTGTCCATCATTGTTACTCTTGCTTTAGTTGATTCGCATCTGAAAATCCTGAGATCCTTCTGATATTAAGTATGTCCTTGTTTTACCTTTTGGACAATTCTATCGTTCGACTCTTTGGCAAAGGTGCCTGCGGCTTATTAGTCTGCAATTACCATCTCATAGATTAATGTACGCTTCTCTACTTTTGCTTCGTACCGATCGATGTTTCCTCTTAGGGAAGGAGTTTTCTTCAAAGTACACTCCATGTTGAATTATGCATTGAAATATCCTTCACCAGCGTACCTTGGAGGCGTTGAGGCTTCTGTAACCAACTCTTATGAGATGGAACACCCCTACCGTTAGGAGACAAACCACCGAGCTTTGCTTCCGCCATTGGTCATAAGCCATCTGCCTTCCCCAGATTGAAGTTATTAAAAGCTAAATTGTCCTCTTAGGCAGATCCTTCTCCAATCAAATAATCAACATGCTAAACAAACTCATCCACATCATGCAAGAGCAAAACCAAGTTTGAATCTACCAAAATCATATCCAATTAGTGTTGTGCAACAACATTCAGAATTATTACAGATTAGTCGAGATCAAAACTTCCGATTGTTTTGAAAAGAATTGACATGAAATTGATGTAATGTCTTCACACACACACACATATGAACTTGTGTCAATAAACTAAAGACAAAATAGAACAAGAATTTCATTGGGCTGAGAAATACAATCATGGTCACCATCCATTCGGTTCAATTCCAACATGTTTTCAACAAATGTCAGCACGATTCCAGCATGTATTGACAAGATTCAATTTATTTCGACAAGACTCATTCATTCTCATTTCCAGTATACTCGAACTTATATTTTATTCTTCCAATTATCGGCCAAATCTTTATCCATCTCTATTCAAACGACAAATATACAAAGTTACTTATCTAGAATCTATCAAACCATTCCAAACAGAATCCTCTCAATTACAAAACATGTTCCTTTAAAACCAATATAGTTGAACGTTTCACGATAAAACAAACAGCATTCAGAAGATCAGCATGTATAAACATGTTATACACAATCCTCTACACAAATTCTTAAGCAGAGACCAACGTATATACATTTTACCACGACATTGATCAACTCTGACCATCACCAGAACAAAGCAATTAACATATTCACTCCAATAATCAACATCCATTGTCACCTTATCACAAAGAATACAGCGAATGAATGAGAAAATTTGCGACAGTGAGGGGAACCAACTTTCGAACATATACTTGTGGAAATTTTCAAGCACAACATCCTCTTCCTATCACACAAGTTTAGATTTTACTCCAAAAGTGACCGAGCATAGGACAAGAGGCATTTACCAAGAAATCAACTCTGTGACGTACTCAGACACAGAATGATTTATAACAGATACTAACTTCTAATGTTCATATTATTATAAGCTAAAGCAGAGAGAGAATAAAAAACTAACGATGATTAAACTATGCTAGAGACTACAATGGGTTCCTATTTTTAGGAAATAGGTCTCATTCATGGTTAAGGCCACAAGGAGCTCTATGTTTTCACTTCTCCAAAGTCGGGTTATCAATTCCGATCATTGGATTCAAAGTGCATAGTTAATTCACTACCGAGTAACCTCAAAGCCAACGATGGTCCACATTTCGCTAATTCATCGTCGGACATGTGACTTAAACTATACTAGAGACTACAATCAATTCTTATTTTAAGGAGATAGGTCCCATTCATGGTTGAGGCCACAAGGAGCTATATGTTTTCACTTCACCAAAGTCGACCATGAATAAACCTATTTCCTACAAATTAGAACCGATTGTAGTCTCCAGTATAGTTTAAGTCACTTATCTGACAATGAATAGGGGAAATGTGGATCATTATAGGCTTTGAAGCTACTCGCAGTGAATTAATTGCACACTTTGTATCCAATGATCAAAATTGATGACCCGACTTTGGACAAGTGAAAACATAGAGCTCATTGTAGTCTTGACCATGAATGGGACCCATTTCCTAAAAATAAGAACCAATTGTAGTCTCTACTATAGTTTAAGTCACACGTCCGACAATCAATAAGGAAATGTGGATCATTATTGGTTTTGAGTTTACTCGGTAGTAAATTAATTATGCACTTTGTATCCAGTGATCGAAATTGATGACCCGACTTTGGACAAGTGAAAATATAGAGCTCTTTGTGGCCTCGACCACGAATGGAACCTATTTCCTAAAAATAAGAACCACTTGTAGTCTCTAGTATAGTTTCAGTCACATATCCGATAATGAATAAGGGAAATGTTGACCATTATTGATTTTGAGGCTACTCGGAGTGAATTAACTACGCACTTTTTATCCAATGATCGGAATTGATGATCTGACTTTGGACAAATGAAAACATAGAGCTTCTTGTGGCCTCGACCATAAATGTAACCTATTTCCTAAAAATAAGAGCCAATTGTAGTCTCTAGTATAATTTAAGTCACATGTCCGACAATCAATAAGGGAAATGTAGACTATTATTGGCTTTAAGACTACTCGGTAGTGAATTAACTACGCATTTTGTATCCAATGATCGGAATTGCTTTGGACAAGTGAAAACATAAAGCTCCTTGTGGCCTCGATCATGAATGAGACTTATTTCCTAAAAAAAAAGAACCAATTGTAGTCTATAGTATAGTTTAAGTCACATGCCCAACAATGAATAAAGGAAATGTGGACCATTATTGGCTTTTAGCCTACTTGGAGTAAATTAACTACGCATTTTGTATCCAATAATCAGAATTGATGATCTGACTTTAGACAAATGGAAACATAGAGCTCCTTGTGACCTCGACCATGAATGGGATCAATTTCCTAAAACTAAGAACTAATTGTAGTCTCTGGTATAGTTTAAGTCACATGTCCGACAATGAATAAGGGAAATGTGTAGCACTATTGGCTTTGCGGTTACTCGGTAGTGAATTAACTACGCACTTTGTATCCAATGATCGAAATTGATGACCCAACTTTGAACAAGTGAAAGCATAAAGCTCCTTGTAGCCTCAACCATGAATGAGACCCATTTCCTAAAAGTAAGAATCAATTATAGTCTCTAGTATAGTTTAAGTCACATGTACGACAATGAATAAAGAAAATGTGGACCATTATTGGCTTTAAGACTACTCGAAGTGAGTTAACTATGCACTTTGTATCTAATGATCGGAATTGATGATCCGATATTGGACCAGTGAAAACATAGAGCTCCTTGTGGTCTCGACCATGAATGGGACCCATTTCCTAAAAATAAGAATCAGTTGTGATCTCTAGTATAGTCTAAGTCACATGTCCGACAGTCAATAATAAAAATGTGGACCATTGGCTTTAAGGCTACCCGGTAGTGAATTAACTACGCAATTAGTATTCAATGATTAGAATTGATGACCCGACTTTGGTCTAGTAAAAACATAGAGCTCCTTGTGGCCTCGACCATTAATGGAACATATTTCCTAAAAATAAAAATCAATTGTAGTCTCTAGTATAGTTTCAGTCACATATCCGATAATGAATAAGGGAAATGTGGACCATTGTTGGCTTTAAGGCTACTCAGTAGTGAATTAACCACGCACTTTGTATCCAATGATCGGAATTGATAACCCGATTTTGGACATCTGAAAATATAGAGCTCCTAGCAACCTCGACCCTTAATAGGACCTATTTTCCTAAAATAAGAACCAATTGTAGTCTCAAGTATAGTTTTAAGTCACTTGTCCGACAATAAATAAGGGAAATGTGGACCATTATTGGCTTTGAGGCTACTCGGTAGGGAATTAACTACGCACTTTCTATCCAATGATCGGATTTGATGACCCGACTCTAGAGAAGTGAAAACATAGAGCTCCTTATGGCCTCGACCATGAATGAGACCTATTTCCTAAAAATAAGAACCAATTGTAGTTTCTAGCATAGTCTAATCAGTGTTAGTTTTTTATTATCTCTCTGCGTCAACTTATAATAATCTGAACATTAGAATTTAGTTTCTGTTATAAATCATTCTGTGTATCCGAGTACATTGCAGAGTTAATTTCATGGTAAAAACCTCTTGTCATGTTCTCGGTCACTTTTGGAGTAAAATCTAAACCTATGTAACATGGAGTGGATGTTGTGCTTGAAAATTTCCACATGTATATGTTCAAAAGTAAGTTCCCCTCACTATTGTAAACTTTCTCATTCATTCGCTGTATGCTCTGTGATACGGTGACCATGGATGTCAATGATTGGAATCAATATGTTAGTTGCTTTGTTCTGGTGATGGTCAGAGGTGATCAATGGCAAGGTAAAATGTATATACGTTGATCTTTGCTTAAGAATTTGAGTAGAAGATTATGTATATCAAATTCACAATGCGAATCTCGGGCAGATTTTGGATGCTTTTATGCGGTTTGTTTTATCATAAAATGTTCAGCTATATTGATTTTCAAAGAACATATTTTGTAATTGAGAGGATTCTATTTTGAATGGTTGGATAGATTCTGAATAAGTAACTTTGTATATTTGTTGCTGAAATAAAGATGGATAAAAATTTCACTGACAATTGAAAGAATAAATGGGAAGTTTGAGTATACTGGAAATGAGAATCAAGGAGTCTTGTCGAAATGAATTAAGTCTTGTCAATACATGCTGGAATCTTGTTGAGATTTGTTAAAAACATGCTGAAATAGAACCGAATGCATGCTGACTATGATCGCATTTCTCAACCCAATGAAGATCTCGTTCTATTTTGTCTTTAGTTTGATGACACAAGTTCATATACATAGGTGTGAAGACATTACATCGATTCTTTACAAAACTATCGAAAGTTTTGATCTCGACTAATTTATAATAATTTTGAATATTGCTGCACGGCACTAATTGGATCTGATTTTGGTAGATTCAAACTTAGTTTTGCTCTTGCATGAAGTGGATGAGTTTGCCTAGCGTGTTGATTGTTTGAGCTGACTGCTAGCTTATTCCATACTCGGTTGTGCCCTATTTCCTAAAAATAAGGACCAATTGTAGGCTCCAGTATAGTTTAAGTAACATGTCCGACAATCAATAAGGAAAATTTGGACCATTATTGACTGTGAGGCTACTTGAAAGTGAATTAACTACGCATTTTATATCCAATGATAGGAATTGATGACCCGACTTTGGACAAGTGTAAACATAAAGCTCCTTATGGCCTCAACCATAAATGAGACCTATTTCCTAAAAAATAAAAATCAATTGCAGTCTCGAGTATAGTTTGATCCGCATGTTCGACAATGAATAAGGGAAATATGGATTATTATTGGTTTTGAGGCTACTCCGTAGTAAATTAACTATGCACTTTGTATCCAATGGTCGGAATTGATGACCCGATTTTGGACAAGTGAAAA